CATCTATTTGCTTTCTTTGTTTCTCTCTCTCTCTCTCTGTCTGTCTTTCCACCTTTCCTTCTTTCTTTTCACCCCTCTCTCTCTCTCTTAGACAAATAAATATCATTAGCAAACAAATAAATATCATTGGACAAATAGATATCATTATCAATATCTGTTTTACCCCCTTTGTTTTTATTTTTGACATCCTCATTTAATGTTAACAAAAAAGCAAACGTGCATATTTTTAAAATAAAAATGTGTGTGTAATATTTGTTCACGTCATGTGGCTCTCAAACATCTGACGTTTATTCTATGTGGCTCTTAAGTTGAGCAAGTTTGGCCACTCCTGGTGTGGATGAAAACCCACACAGGCAGACCGGAGAGGCCGCAGTGGACCGCTGGGCAGGTGCTCCCACAATGCTTGCCTGCTGCAGATGAGGCTGTTCTGCCATGCTGAAGCCATAACGGAGTGGCTCCGCCCACTCCCCCCCCAGCACTTCCTCCCTTGCATCAGTTGCTCGAGGGCCATATAAGAGACCTGGGTGGGTCTTATGTTTGACACCCCTGCCCTACTAAGCTTCTGGGCGATCCACGTCAGAGTGAAAAGTGGCTTAGAGATATCACGAATGAAGCAACTTGTTACGTTCTGACATAGACCGCGCGTGGTTGCACTGCACACGCGGTCAGCAAAATAGCCAGAGCTTCGATCCCAGGAACAATGGGTACAGAGGATCCTAGTAGCAGCCTATTGGCTGACCAGGATCCTAGACGAACCCTATCAGATGCAGAATTATGTAAATAAGCCAATCATGGGTGTAGGGGTGTGTGTGGGTGGAGTCCTTTGTTGTGCATTTAAGCAGCCCGCGGGCTTGCCCTGTATCTCTCTCTTTCTGAATTCACTTAGTAAAGGTATGAGCTGAAATCACTCAACGATGCGTCAGTCTCAGTACTTCTCACAACTAATGCATGAAATGCACGGACCTTGTCTGGGATCTGCCCACTGGATGTATGAAGAAACATAATGCTCCTGTCTTTGTATTTGGCATCTTGAAGACGCTTCTGTCTTTCCCCCTAAAAACTTGAACCTGTTAATGATTTCCTAGCCTGGGGTAGCCCATCCTGGAGCACAGTCATGCATGTTGTTAGCTCCCTGGGAAGACGGAAGCTACAGACTTAATTATATACTGAGCTCCTCTTATCCTCCTGCCTAGTACCAAATTAACGTTTTAAAAATTAATTTTTCTTGTGTCGGCAAGGACTGTGCCTCACTGTTATTCCCCACAGATCCTCGGCTCCTCTTATATGGAAATGTTGAATGTACTGAAGAGAGTTGCAGTAAAAACTGGGAGTCAATTAATTATCACCTTTTTGTGAAGTCAAGAGCTACATGGATTAAAGGACAAATCATCCATCAGCAGGTCTTCCTTTGCTTTGAGTGCACATGAGTGCCACTAAGACTGGGAAATGAATATAATGCTGTCTGAAACTGGGGGAAGCCAACATAAAAAAATGCTGCTTTAAGCCCAATTTATTCTGTCACGGGCTACTGAGCTTTCTGTAAAACATGACCTGGTAAAATATATAGCGGTATAAAATCTGAACCTAATTTCATTCTGGTTAAATCAAACCAGTGATCCAATTACATTGGTTAGCAACTTGTGAGACAGGAGTGATGTATACTTTATTATCCTATGGAAATGCAGAAGCAATATAAGTGTTTGTTTGACTTCCAAAGACAATACTTCACAAGAGGTTGAGGGTTTCTTGCTTAGAAAAGGCCTCTTCAAACACTGTGTATCACAGTCATGGGGTGTCTGACAGTTTATGGGGGCTGTGAACGTGGTCTTGGATGCTTCCAAACCCTACAACCCCCAGATGGAGAAGCAAATCCTCAATGTTATCAAAAGATGCATCCAGCAGGGGAGGGACTGTGGCTCAGTGGCAGAGCCTCTGCTTGATATGCAGAAGGTCCCAGGTTCAAATCCTGGCCCCACCCAGTTAAAAAGGATTAGGCAGCAGCTGATGTGAAAGACCTCAGCCTGTGACCCTGGAGAGCAGATGCCGGTCTGAGGGGGCAATACTGACTTTGATGGACCAGTGGTCTGATTGAGTGTAAACTGGGCTTTTTTTTTTTAAAGAGGTGCCGGAACTCAAGAGCAATGCTCCCTCTTAGTTGTGGAGTCTTGTGAGCAAAAATACTACTCTGTGAGCTACTGGCATTAAAGTCGTGAGCGAGCGATTTGACTCCTGCATAAATTAGTTTGCTCTGGAGCCCTCCTTCCTGAGTAGAGACAAAAATGTGTGAGCCGGAGGCTAAAAATCTGTGAGCTAGCTCACACCAACTCAGCTTAGAGGGAACACTGCTCAAGAGGTAAATGTAGTTTTTCAATCTGCATACAGAAAATTCATGAACTTTTAAACATTTTAAAAAGAATTTTGTCGAAGAGGTTCCGGGACTCCATTCCCGCCAGAACAAAAGCCCCGAGTTTAAAGCAGTTTTGTGTGTTCAGTCGGTTCAGTAAACCCTGCAGATTACTATTTGCGAGACACAGGTTTCAAATTTCTTCTCAAAACAAGAGGCCATCAGCTTGGAGAGAAGCGGTGATTTAACGCTATGCTTTCTAAGAAGTGGGTGCTGATCAGAACAAGGCAAGCAGAAGATCTCCCCTCTGAGGCAAACACACCACAGCCTGTCACGGTCACCCCGGGATAAGGGAGAGACATTTTGCATATTTCAGTAATCCGGCCCAATCATTCTATTTTTACTGCTTCGAAGGCCTGACATTTTAAGCCATTTCTGCTGCTAAAGCTAGGTTCAGAAGGTCTGGTGAGGGAAGCAGCAGTTCCTCCAGGCAGTTTTAATGCCAGAGCCAGGGTTGCCAACCACCAGGCGAGGGCTGGAGTTCCACCCAGAATTACAACTCATCTCCAGACCACAACGATCAGCGTCAGAGAGAAAACGGTAGATTCTGAGGGCAGATTATGGCATCATCTCTCCACTGAGTGCCCTCACCGCTCCAAACTCTGCAACCCCCCCCCCAGGTTCCCTCTCCCAGATCTCCAGGAATTTCCTAACCCGGAGTTGGCAACCCTCTCCAAAGCATAAGCACACTACCCAAAAGCTCAACCTTCCCTCCCAGTTCAAAACAGGAACAGCCAATTATTGTGCCTTTGGGCCTTTCCATTATCCAGACAGTGGTCCAGAGAGATGAATATAGTTTGCTACACCCCTTTGTTGGGAGAGATGTGGGTGTTACATCAATTAACCATTATTCTAGTGATTAGTACTTACTCTAATCAACTAATAGTCCCTGTTGGTGGGAGGGATCTCTGAGGTGTCATTCAGCCAGCTGACAGTCCCTGCTCTAATGACAGCTTTTCTTCTTGTCTCTGTCAGGAGGTGGGTGTGTCACATCAAACATAACTCATTTCTAGTTTCTCTCCTGTAGCCAGTTGCCTGCATAGTCAGCTTGGATTGCCTCCAGGGCTTGAGAGACCCAGTTTGGTGTAGTGGTTAGGGTTTGAGTCCCCACTCCTCCACAAGCAGCTGTTGACATAACTTTGGGTCATCCACAAGTTCTCTCAGAGCTCTCTTAGCCCCACCTACCTCACAGAGTGTCTGTTGTGGGGAGGGGAAAGGAAAGGAGATTATAAACTGCTCTGAGACTCCTTTGGGTAGTGAAGGGTGGGGTATAAATCCAATCTCTCCTCCTCCTCCTCTTCTTCAGATGAGATGCATGGAAGGAGGAGGATCTACTTGGAAGCCCTACAGAGGTCAGGCATGGCAATGCAAACATCAGTGAAAGGGGGCCTATCTGGCCTTGACCAATCACAGTGCAACACGAGATACTACTTTTTCTTTTTACTAGTTCAGCACTTTACTTTTCTTCTGCCCAGCACAGAGAAATTAGCAAAATGAGGCTGGAGCCGGACAGAAAATCCATGAAGGAATCTCTTGTGTGTTTTAAAATTGCTACACAGACGTCTGCGTGTGAGTAAGCGAGGTTTAGATTGGAGCTGCAGGGCAGGTGAGGATTATTGGCTCTTTCGTCCCCATTTTTGTCTTGAATTCCAAAGCCTCCCTGAAGAAAATATACCTTCGATGCCTCAAAAAGATGTTTATATAGAGGTTTGGCCTCCTCCTCCTCCTCTTCTTCTTCGATGAGATGCAAGGAAGGAGGAGGGTCTACTTGGAAGCCCTACAGAGGTCAGGCATGATGGCTATGCAAACATCAGTGAAAGGGGGCCTATCTGGCCTTGACCAATCACAGTGCAACACGAGATACTACTTTTTCTTTTTACTAGTTCAGCACTTTACTTTTCTTCTGCCCAGCACAGAGAAATTAGCAAAATGAGGCTGGAGCCGGACAGAAAATCCATGAAGGAATCTCTTGTGTGTTTTAAAATTGCTACACAGACGTCTGCGTGTGAGTAAGCGAGGTTTAGATTGGAGCTGCAGGGCAGGTGAGGATTATTGGCTCTTTCGTCCCCATTTTTGTCTTGAATTCCAAAGCCTCCCTGAAGAAAATATACCTTCGATGCCTCAAAAAGATGTTTATATAGAGGTTTGGGGTAACATGCAAAATTATTTAAATTATTTGGAGAAGACTGATTGTCATCTATATAAGATAGATCCAATTGGTCAGACTCAACAGGGATACTGGATTTTTATTTCATTACATATGCAAACGCATTCAGTCCTCACATATGAAGGATGATAAATCCTTGGTTTTTAAAATGTATTTTAGTGTATTTATTTTTCACAACAGTATATTAGAATACTGAACAACGTATGCAAGGGATATTAAGATGTCTGCTGACAAAGCGGCATTTTTTGGGAGGGGGATGTAGTGCTGAAGTGCCCTCCAGGCCTGAAAGGAGAGAATGAAGATTCCCAGTCACTTCCCACAATTAGAAAAGACACCTTTAGACATTTCTCTGCTAGTCTGACGTATTCATTGCTTTTCAACTGTTGACCTTATAACCCTAACTTGTAATTTAGTGTCACTTTGCATATCTTGATCATCATCATGTTGCATGTTAATTTGCTGTTTGCTATCTGACTCAAAGTCTGAACCTTTTTTTGCCATTCGAGGTATTTGGTGAAGTATAAAGGTAAAGGTTCCCTTGCTCGAAAGCCAGTCGAATCCGACTCTAGGGTTGCGGTGCTCATCTCTGTTTCAAAGCCGAAGAGCCAGCGCTGTCCGAAGACGTTTCCGTGGTCATGTGGCCGGCATGACTAAACACCAAGGCGCACGGAACGCTGTTACCTTCCCACTGAAGTGGTCCCTATTTATCTACTTGCAATTTCTTGCTTTTGAACTGCTAGGTTGGCAGGAGCTGGAACTAGACATGGGAGCTCACTCCGTCATGCGGCACCCGGATCTCGAACTGCTGAACTACTTACCTTCCACAGCCTGCAGTTCAGCGTCTTAACCACTTGAGCCACTGCAGTTCCCTGATGAAGTTTGCATGCACACAAAAGCTCGTACCTTGAACAAACCTTTGCTGGTCTTAAAGGTGCCGCTGGACTCTAAATTTGTTGTCATGCATATAAATAAGTCTACCAAATAAGACCACCCACCCACTGAGGTCTTTTTACAAGGGTGTAGACTTTCCAATTTCCCGGGGGGGGGGGCTGGGGCTGGGCCAGAGGCATTGCTTTGCTAGGGGCAAGGGGGGCTCCCGGGGGGGGCTGAGCACTTTCCTGAAAATTTCGGCGGGGGCTGACGCCCCGACGCCCCCACGAAGATTACGCCTATGTGAGCAGCCCTGCCTGTCCATTGTCTCAGGAAGCTCTACTGCCTGGGCTCCTTTAAGACAGAGATGCTGGGGACTGAATCTGGGACCTTGGCTCCAAAACACATATGCTTTGCCCCCAAGCTTATAGCCATGGTGGTGGAAAGTGCCGTCAAGTTGCAGCTGATTTATGGTAACCCCTAAGGTTTCCAAGGCAAGAGACAGAGAGACGTGGTTTGCCATTACCTGATCCTGCATAGCAGGCCTGGAATTCCTTGATGGTCTCCCATCCAAATACTGACCAGGGCCGACCCTGCTTAGACTTCTGAGATCTTCTCAGATCAGGCTAGCCTGGTCCATCCAGATCGGACTCTTTCTAATTCATCTAGTTGATTCACCAACTAGCAGTTCTTTAGCTGGCTGAACAGCCTGGTTTGAATGTTCCTCTTAAAATGCATCCGGCAAGTCGACAGTTCAGCCACATCATTTCAAGCGAACAGGTTGTGCAGGCAGCATAGCCGAGCGCGTACGTTTTCACAACTGGCCATGTTCTTATCCATCCGCTATGGGGATAGGGCTACCAAATACATACCACCAGGGGTCGTTTCATAGAAAAAGAGCTAGGGGAACTCATTAGCATAACTCATTAGCATATGCCACACCCCGTGACATCACCAGAAGGGTGTCATAAGGCCACACACCCCGCCCCCAACGGTCCTGGCCGCTGCCGCCGGCCTTGCAGCTCCACTGCCGAGCCCCATGAGGGGCCCGGC